TAAGGAACTTCCAGAGTGACCCAGCATGGAAGCTGGCTCTGTGGGGGGATGTAAGGAACTTCCAGAGTGACCCAGTACAGAAGCTGGCTCTGTGGAGGATGCAAAGAGACATGCTGAGAAGAAGGTGCACCCTCAAGGCCTGGTGGAATCCTTGCCTTATGTGCAGAATAATCGGATTTTAGCCTCAAACTCCAAGGATGCCAATGAGTATTTTAAAGTCAATGGCAGATGTGACCAGATGTGTTTTCCCTGAAGGCAGCCCTGTCATGAGCCCAACCTCCCTCCACAGACGGGGGTGTCTGGAGTGAAGCATCCAAGATGGGGAGGACACGATCTGCCTGGTCATCACTTATTCATTAATTCCTTTGCCTCCTGGGTGCCTGCCACGTGTCACCGCTGTGGTTATTTCTGTGGTGAAGAGTAATGAGAAGCTCCAGCCGTCACCCAGTTTACGTTCCAGCAAGGAACGAGCAGCCATGAAGAAGTAAGTGAGACAGTTGCTGACTGTGACAATACTGCAGGGGACACCCCAGTGATAGGAGGAGAGGGTGACTTTAGACTGTGGGTCCAGGATGACTTCCCTGAGCAAGCAGCGGTTGAGCTAAGGGTAGAGTGAAAGGTTTTCAGCTCTTGAATAAGCCCCGGGGAGGGCACAGCAGGGAAAAGAGCAAACCCGTCTGTCTGGATGGAGGATGGTTGGAAAGAGGGAGGAAGAGCAAGAGGGGAGGACAGAGGGTGGGAAGGAGTGACTGACGCACACAGGCAGGGGGACATCTGCATTTGTCACACAGGCAAGGAGAAGCTGGGCGAAGAGTTGGCAGGAGAGTGGCATCACTGCCTCCAGCTTTAAAACTGCTCTGCTGTGGTAGCATGCGTGATATGGTGTCTGGAGGGGAGAAGGGGCATGGTGAGAGCTCCGGCCAGCCTGCAGGGGAGGGACATGTGCTCAGGCTGGAGCGGGGGCAGGAGAGACGGAAGAGGAGGAAGTTCTGGCCACATTCCTGAGGAAGAAGTGATCAGACTTAGTTCTGAGTAGGTGGAGGAGGGAAATGGAGGTCTCCCTGGTACACCTGGGCTTTGACATGAGTGAGACTGTGGGTGGATGGTGCTACCCTGCCCTAAGCGGAAGCCGGGGTAGAAGGATGCGTGCCAGCAGTCACCACTCCAAGGAAACGCCAGCTGGGGAGCCCTGGGGATGACTCCGGTGCACGAGAGAGGCTCAGGTTGAAGACAGAAAACCCAGAGTCATCATCACGTCCATTTAAGGTGTAAGGGCTGCAACAGATCACCCAGGAAGGAGGTGTGCACAGGGAATCTAGGAGGCCCGAGACAGAACCCTGAGATGCTGACCACCTGAGCACAGATGGGAAGAACCACCAGCTGACAGTCACCAGCAAAACCAGGAAACTGTGTCACAAAGCCAAGAGCAGAGACTCTCCCAAAGGAGACTGAGCCTCCCACAGACATCCCTGGGAGGGAGAGAGAAGGAGCAGAGGGTGTCCAGGGGATTGGCCACAGGCAGATCCAGGCATCCCTGGGAGGGAGAGAGAAGGAGCAGAGGGTGTCCAGGGGACTGGCCATAGGCAGATCCAGACATCCCTGGGAGGGAGAGAGGAGCAGAGGATGTCCAGGGGACTGGCCACAGGCAGGTCCAGACGTCTCTGGGAGGGAGAGAGAAGGAGCAGAGGGTGTCCAGGGGACTGGCCATAGGCAGGTCTCTAGCGACTCTGGCAGGGGCAGTCTCAGTGTGCAGATGGAGATGAAAGCCTGGTTTTCATAGTTTAAAAATGCATGAGGCTGGGTGCATTGGCTCATGCCTGTAATCCCAGAACTCTGGGAGCCCAAGGTAGGAGGATAGCTTGGGCTCAGGAGTTTGAGACCAGCCTGAGCAAGAGTGAGACCCTGTTTCTACTAAAAGTAAAAAACAAACAAACAAACAAACAAACAAACAAAAACTAGCTGGGCATGGTGGCAGGTGCCTATAGTCCCAAGCTCCTTTAGAGGCTGAGGCAGGAGAATTGCTGAAGCCCAGGAGTTTGAGGTTGCTGTGGGTTGTGATGACACCAGTGCAGTCTATTCCAAGCAAAAGAACAAGAGCCTGTCTAAAAAAAAGTATAAGAAACTGGGTATAATGGTGCATTGCCTGGAGTCCCAGCTAGTCAGGAAGCTGAGGTAGGAGGAGCACTTGAGACTTGAGCCCAGGAGTTTGAAACCATCCTGGCAGACATGGCAAGACTTATCTCTGAATACAAGGAAAAAAAAGCAAGAGACACAGCAAGCATAGCTCAAGGCAGGCTCAGAAATCACTTTCTAAATGCTTAGCTGAGAAGAGATGAGCTAGAAATGAGGTGGCAGCTGGAAGAGGGTTGGGGAGCGTCTAGCAGAGGGGGTGACAGAAGGGCAGTAGAGGGAGGGGCAGACTAAGGAGATGGTGATGGGGAAGGCCAGGCGGTGGGAGCAGGACTACAGCCTGCAGATACTTGGGCTGGGCACTGCCTGATGTGGGGGTGGAGCATGGCAGGGGGCGGTTCCTGCCACTCATACAGGAGTGGGGAAATTCTTTCCCTGGACATGAAATGTGGGAGGCAGGCAAGGCTGTAGTTAGATTCGCAGACAATGGGTGGATGAGGGGCTCTGATGTCTCCCTTCTCCTCTCTCAAAGAGCAACACAAAAGGTACCAGAGACCTGCCTGTAGCTCACTGGTTAGGATGCTGGCCCAGAGAACTGCTCATATGTCACTGGATAGGATGCTGACCCAGGGACCTGCCTATAGCTCACTGGTTAGGATGCTGGCCCAAGGACCTACTCATAACTCACTGGTTAGGACACTGACCCAGAGACCTGCCCGTAGCTCACTGGTTAGGATGCTGGCCCAGAGACCTGCTCATAGGTCACTGGATAGGATGCTGACCCAGGGACCTGCCTATAGCTCACTGGTTAGGACGCTGACCCAGAGACCTGCCCGTACCTCACTGGTTAGGGCACCAACCAAGAACTGCCCACAGCTCACTGGTTAGGACACTGACCCAGAGACCTGCCCGTAGTTCACTTGTTAGGACGCTGACCCAGAGACCTGCCCACAGCTCACTGGTTAGGGCGCCTACCGAGACCTGCCCACAGCTCACTGGTTAGGATGCTGACCCAGAGACCTGCCCATAGCTCACTGGTTAGGGCACCAACCAAGAACTGCCCACAGCTCACTGGTTAGGACACTGACCCAGAGACCTGCCCGTAGTTCACTTGTTAGGACGCTGACCCAGAGACCTGCCCACAGCTCACTGGTTAGGGTGCCTACCGAGACCTGCCCACAGCTCACTGGTTAGGATGCTGACCCAGAGACCTGCCCATAGCTCACTGGTTAGGATGCTGACCCAGAGACCTGCCCATAGCTCACTGGTTCGGGTGCTGGCCACATGCACTGGGGCTGGTGGGTTCAAATCCAGCCTGGACCTGCTAAACAAGAATGACAACAACAACAACAAAAATAGCTGGGCGTTGTGGCAGGCGCCTGTAGTCCCAGCTAGTCAGGAGGGTGAGGCAAGAGAATCACTTGAGCCCAAGAGTTTGAGGTTGCTGTGAGCTGTGACACCACAGCATTCTACTGAGGGTGATGTAATAAAACTGTCTCTAAAAAAAAAAAAAAAAAAGATGGGAGAACCCAATGCTGTGTCTTAATATTAACAATAAAGTAGAATCCCTTCACTAAAACTGTCCACAGCATGGACAGTGAGTGTCCTGAACCATTTCTACTTTGGGTTTCCAAACTGCCCTGCCAAGAAAGGAAGTTCATCCTCCGTAATCTGAAACAGGCAATTGGCATTCAGAGAGATTTTTAGGGGGAAGTCCTATTTCCAGTCTCAGCATCAGAGAAGAACTCTGGACAGTATATCCCTCATAATTATGCAAAACAGTAGGAGAATCTAGTGCTCAGAAGGGAACAACACTTACCTTATTAGAGAAGCTTATGAGGTTTCTCAACATAAGAACAGAATCGGCCATTTCTTCCTGATCAGGAAAACAAGCAAAAAAGAAAACATAAGTAAACAAACAAACAAGCAAATCAGAGAGAGTAGAGAAGGCCAGCTTATTTGGGTAAAGTTCCAGCTTGCTTATGTAGCAGCTGAGCAGATTCCAGGCTTTGCAGCTGGGAGACAAGCTGTAGGTGAGACCTTCTTTAGAGAGGCCACACCTTGGTCTCCAGTTCCCCCTCCAGTCCAGCATCTCTCCTCAACCTGCCCCTGGTCAGCCTTGGCAAGAGGATATAAGGGACCAGTGATAAGAGAAGCTTTGCAGAGGGGCCAGAGAGATGAAGGAAGAAACTACATTTCAAGTGGAGTCTCTTGGAATTGCATGTTCTTTATGGAGAAGTCTGGTGACACCTCTGAGAAGCAGCTGCAGAAACGCTACGAGCAAGGACGGTCACATTGGACTGTATGGTCATTGCTTTAAAAGGTGCACATTGTCATGAGCTTAAATCTCTAGTACATCATCGCTAACAAAATACAAACAGATTAGATTTGCAGAATTGTTGCTTACACAAACTTTAGCAGAAATTTTCTGTAACGACAACTGGCTTGTATCAGTCTGTCTTTTATAAACCAGCAGCATTCATTGGTGGAATGTATTAGCAGGCTGGAGAGACCACAGCCACACGTGGGAGCCCACCTGGCTGGCCTTCCTGGTGACATTCCTCTCCTGTGTTCCACAGGTGTGACACCTTGCTGGTGACAGACCCTACCACCTGTCCTACAGGCTAATAGACACTGCACTTGCCCAGCTCTGGACCGTACCTCATTTGCAAAAGCTAATTTGCACACGGAAGAAATCAAGGCATCCTGTATCCGTGACCACTGGCCGCATGAGGCGGTTCTGTTCTCCTTTGACAAACGACTCAGGATCTTGGTGGTCATGGTGATGTAGTTCCTGGTTTCTATGTAATTCCCCATCAACTGGAGTGTAATCAGGCTTTTCAGGCTGGAGTTATATCTGAAGGAGACACAGGAGCTATCAAGATTGTTCCAACACACTGCAAACCTTTTCACCCTGCCCCCCAAGAGTGGAATGGGGCTTGTTGGGAATATGCTTCTTGGGTGGCTCAGGGTAGAAAAAGGATGGTACAAAAGAGAGCAGGTCTGTGCAGAGGAAACTCTGAAAAGGCACGGCAAAGTGCGTTGCCAAAATTCTTTTAAAACTCCTAGCAGGTGACAAATGGGGAAGCATAGTGTGGATCAGGCACAAGGGCACACGGCTACCAGCCGAGTGAAGTTCTGTGAGCTCTGGACAACCAGAGCTGGGAGCTAGTGCCCACACCCATCCCAGAGTGGACATCTGGGCTGTACACGTGGTTCATGTCAATTCCCAAGTTTACGGCTTTAGATTTCAGTACCTAGGTATTTATTCACTTATTTACAAAGTACTTCACTTATTTGCATTTGAAAAGGCAGCAGACACCAGGAAAAGAGCCCTGTGCCTGCAGGAAAGACCAGGTCCCGCCCTTGCTCTGTGGTTTCTTTGCTGTTAACCTCAAGAGCATATCATTTAACAGAGTAACTGGACTTCAGTTTCCACAAGTGTAAATTAAAAAGTCTCACCTGAATATGACCCTCCATACAGGGTCATTGCAAGAAGTATATAAATTAGGAATAATTAATTAATTAGACAATGCCTTGCAGGCTCTGAACACACATGCTTAAGCACACCCTTGACCAATAAGTGATTTGCGCAGCTTCAGACTCTAGGAAGCCAGGCTAAAGATAAAGATGAACAAATAAATCTAGGCAGAAACACCACAGATTGCACAATAGGGGGAAATACACTTTACAAAATTAGTCTCGCAGAGTCAAAAAACATATGAACAAATGACTAAGCAAACAAAAATAATACCAACAAGCCCACGAAATGGGGCCAGGCTGACACCACAGAGGCTGCAATACATTATCTAAAATGTCCCGTTTTCAATGAAAAGTCTGAGGCATCCAAAGAAACATCTAAACACAGGAAAAATAGGCAGGCCCCAGAAACTGCCTTTGAGGGGTCACAACTGTGCTTAGTAAAGACTTTGAACAGCTACTGTAAATACGATCTAAGAGCGCGAGGAAACCATGGTTTTTTTTTTTTTTAATGAAAAGGAGGTATAATGCTGACTAATCAAATGAGGAATATCAGTAAAGAGATATAAACTGCAAATTTAGAAGTCATAGAAATAACAAGTACAGAATAAAAGAGAAGTTAAAAAGTAGATTTGAGAAAAGAAAGAATCCATTAACATGAAGACAGAGCAACACAGATTATAAAGAACAGAAAGAAAAAAGGAAGAGGAAAATGAGCAGCAACTCAGAGAATGCTGTGCATCATTAAGTTCACAAATTCTATTTTTCTGTTTCTCTCTTTCTTTCTGTTTCTCTCTTTCTTTCACAGCAAGTAATAAAACAAGAACAACACAAAGAAGGAGTGTGGGGAGCTGTGGAGCACAGGGGGCCGTGAGGTGTGGGGGGCCATGGAGCATGGGGAGCTGTAGAGTGTGGGGATCTGTGGAGTGTGGGGGGCCGTGGAGCATGGGGAGCTGTGGTGCGTGGGGAGCTGTGGAGTGTGGGGATCTGTGGAGTGTGGGGGACCGTGGGGTGTGGGGGGCCATGGAGCATGGGGAGCTGTAGAGTGTGGGAATCTGTGGAGTGTGGGGGGCCATGGAGCATGGGGAGCTGCAGAGTGTGGGGATCTGTGGAGTGTGGGGATCTGTGGAGTGTGGGGATCTGTGGAGCATGGGGGACCGTGGGGTGTGGGGGGCCATGGAGCATGGGGAGCTGTAGAGTGTGGGAATCTGTGGAGTGTGGGGGGCCGTGGAGCATGGGAAGCTGTGCAGTGTGGGGAGCTGTGGAATGTGGGGATCTGTGGAGTGTGGGGATCTGTGGAGCATGGGGGACCATGGGGCGCAGGGGAGCCATGGGGTGTGGGGGGCCATGGAGCATGGGGAGCTGTAGAGTGTGGGGATCTGTGGAGCATGGGGATCTGTGGAGCGTGGGGATCTGTGGAGCGTGGGGGGCCATGGGGCGCAGGAGAGCCGTGGGGCGCGGGGGGGCCGTGGAGCGTGGGGAGCTGTGGAGCGTGGGGAGCCGTGGAGTGTGGGGAGCTGTGTAGAAACAAGGAAGGGACACCAGGTGGGAACTTAAACCCACGGGCAGACAGGAGACAGACAAAAATACTGCATGAGAAGATCAGGACATTGAAACACTTCTGAAAATATATTTACGTTCTCTTTTCTCCTATAATTGCTTTTAAAGATGAGATTATACCCAACGATAGTTATAACATTGTATTGTTGGGTCTGTAACATATATAGGTGTAATATGCATAGCACACAAAAAGCAAAGAGAAAATAGATCTGTAGAGGAGTACAGTTTCTTTGTCTTCCTGAAATTAAGTCAGTATAAATTTGTAGCTATTTCTAATTAGTTAAGATGTATGTTGTAAGCCCAAGTGCAACAGCTAAGAAAATAACCTACAAAAAATACTTAAAGATCATTAAAGGAATTAAAATGAGGCGCTAGAAAACATTCACTTAAGATAAAGGAGGCAGCAAAAGAGGAGCAAGGAAATCACAATTCAGGTAGGACACAGGAGAGGTAATCGTGATTCAGGTAGGACACACGAGAGGTAACCGCGATTCAGGTAGGACACACGAGAGGTAACCACGATTCAGGTAGGAGACACGAGAGGTAACCGCGAT